CCAAATATGTGTTCTTTGAAGCCTGACTCTCTCCAATTTCTGAATTAATTTTCAGTGGTCCTCTTGCCTAATGCCCCACAGCTAATTAAAATGGACTAAATTTAATTGATTCATTAAGTGCACCCCTAACTGTAAAAAGTACAAATGAAATTCCTTTATCCCGGTCCTTTGGTAGTCTTGACCATAAGCCCTCCATGTAGACTTTAATGTTCCCTGCAATTCTAGATGGCACACAATGGATTTGAATTGTCTTATTCCAAAGCTATCCATAACTTTCTTCAATAACTTTGTAAAATTTGAACCTTGATCTGATTTTGTACTTCTGTGGGTAGTCTGTATCTAGTATTAAAAATAAATTGAGGAACTCTTCCACTGTCCTTTTCAGCTGTGATACTGTGTAATAGAATGGCCTCAAAATCTGGGGGACATGTCCATTATGGTCCAAAAAGTTCCAGCTTTTTGTTTTAGTAGGCATCCTATGCAAACAATTAAGACTCTTGTAAAAAGTTCCTTTTTAATGTGGGAATAGTATCGATGGTGCTGGTTTTATCACTGCCTGAGGTTCTCCAATTACTTGGCACATATGACATGTTGGGTAAAGTACAGCCACGTCCTTATGCAGCCCCAGCCAACAAAAATTGGGCCCCGACCCAAAACATCAACTTTCCTGCTCCTCATGCTGCCTGGCCCGCTGTGCTCCTCCAGCTCCACACTGTGTGTTACAAATAAAAAAAAAATGTTTTTGTATTTTGGCTTGAGTTTTCCTTACTCTCAAATGACCACCTGTGGTGGGGTTAATTCATGTGCTACCTGCAATGACTCCATTCTGTAATCCACTAGTCCTAGAACTTGATGTCCATTTCTTACCTGCCTAAATATGTGATGGCCTCCATTTCCTTATCAGGACTTCATTTTAAGATAGTAACGTCCTGGGATAAGCTCAGATTTTTCTGTATCTGCTTTTTAATGCAACTGCTTTAGCTTTTTATCTTTCTGTTGTAATTCAGCTAATTACACAATTTAAAAATATCCACTTATCCTCCACCTGTTTGGTTTTGTTTGTTTTTCCTCAACCATTTGATCAAAGAAGGTTTCTAAATTGAACCTTGACGTCCTCATCTTTTAATCTTTAATTTGTCCTCCTGTTTCCCCTTGTGGATTTGTGACCTTGTTACCGGAGCCAGGAAAGATCCCAGGATATATTTCCTGTAACACCAGTTGCCTGATTTTCCCACTGACTTATCAATCACATTAGGCATCACTTTCACCTGTGATCCAGCTATATCACCAAAGATAAACTATATTTCTTGAACGGAGACTTTCTCCATTTACCCTACCACACTTTTCACCGGACTGTCCAACCTCCCTTTATATAATGGAACATTGCTCTTCTCACCATGAATTCTGTATGTCACCACTTTTCCTGGCAGTACGCCTTCTGAATTACATATCTCCTTATCTCTCACCATCAAAAATTGACTTGCTCCTGTATCTCCTGGCATACGTGAGTAAACCATACCCACACACAGAGATCTGGCATTTTTTTTTCTTAACAAATCCCTGACCGGGTTGTACATTCTTTCGTACCTATTTAGCTTCCACTGTGTTTTCCTTCACCACTTCAACAAAACTCACCATCTTATCCTGTTTTCCCACATCAGTCTTCCCAGTGCTTTTTCTGAACTGCGACTTCATGTGGCCTACTTTTTTTACAGTGAAAACACCTTAGGTTTTCTCCTTCTGTTTTCTCCCCCTCATGAGCTTCCTATGCTAAACTATCCTTACTATCTTCAGTGAGATCTCCTTTTCTCTTATCACCTGCGGATTTCTTTCTTCCCCAGTTTCTATTCCTCTGTGGCTGAAATTGATGTCAAAAGGCAGACTTTGATTTATGAACCAACTCAACCATCTGCCACTTCCGCTGCTAATCTTGCAGTCTTAGTTCTCTGCTCTTCCAAATGATTTCTCACTACTTCAGGAAGTGAATTTTTGAATTCCTCCAAAATAATCATCTAAGAGCATCATATGTCTGATCTATTTCAATGCCCTTATCTACCTATCAAAATTACTTTGTTAATCCTTTCAAACTCTGTTCATTTGACCAGGTCTTCCCTACATTTCTAAGATGTTGTCTGTAGGCTTCTTGTATTAGCTTATGTACAGTCTAGATGGTTTTTTCACCTCCTCAGTTACCACCTCTGATAGTGATGCAAGTACCTACTCGTTCTACCTACCAACTTTGTTTGGATCAACAATACCCACATGATCTCCAGTCATTTCATTTCATTTGTTTAGCCACTTTCTCAAGTGAAATGAAAATGATTTCTACATCCTTCCTTCTTGTTGAACTTTGGCAACTTACTTAAACAGATCTCCACCATGCTACGATGGGATTGCTCTCCATTACTGTCCTTATCATTATGCTACTTTTTACTACTTCTGCCATTTTAAGTCGACTTTTGAGTTTTCAGTTCCAACCTCAAGTTCCAAAACACTCAAAATACAGACAAAATAAAAGAAAATAATTGGTTTAACTGTGTAACTATCGAAATGCTTAAAAAAAAAAAATACATTAGCTACAACTAAAGTATTCTAGTATCAATAACATCCCATAGACGCCCTTAGCAAAGGTAAATTCAGTAAAGTAGATTGTCTCACATGCAGTTCTGGCAGGAGAAAGAGAAAGCAGAGGAATAAGAACTTCCACATTCAATTTCAAGACCACAGCAACTGCTACTGAAGGCTAAAACATTTTTTTAAAAAAAAAGTAGCCCTGGTGGGAACCTGCCTCTACCCATTCGGTCTGCTTCTATTGCTCCAATGTTTCTTAAAAAAAAACCAAGGTTTCACAAGCTATTTACAATATTGGCTTTGAACAGAGTGGTGTGCACGTCTGTTGCAGACTTTCTTCATCCTTTTTTAAAAGTACAAAATTCACCTCTTAATGCCAGGGTATCTTCACGTTTTAGTTTTCCATTCTAATTCCCAAAATATTTTTCACATGCTCTGGCAGAATGAGTGTGCAATATCATTCTTGTTGACCACTAACAAGGTTCATAGAGAGTTCTGGTGTCATGCAAGAGATACTTGCTTGGATATATGGTGCTTTGGTTAATTTGCATGCTGCACCACTTCCTGCATTAACTAGGATAATTTGGTTATTGAATAAACACAGCAAAGGTTTTGTCTAGCCCAATGCATGTAACTGAACTCCAAGCCAGGTGCCTTTTCAAAAGGGTCAATGCAAATCAGTCACCTCTTGCCTTTGTGTGTTTTGTAAGTTTTTTTTTTCTTTTAAATAAGCCATAAAAATCCTTGATGCAGTAACAGATTTTATTGAGACATTCCCAATGCTTTTCCTGATTCTGTATGTCCTAGCTTGCTTGAAAGTGTTTCAGTGGTTCTGAAATTGTCCCTTGCATATAAAGGTTCAGTTACTTAGGCACTTTGATTAGCAGTCAACTGCAATAAACTTCATGAAGGTGCCTACTTTCACAAATTGAGTTCAGCTTTTCCAGTCCAAGCTACGACAATAATGTGCTTCCTTCCAGTCTCGCCCCAAGGCATGCACACTACCTTCAGAGTATTGTGCACGCATTTAGCATAGCTTGGCTTTTCACTAGGGATCTAAGATGGGATGTCAAAAACCGTCTTTGTCAAACCAAATAATGTCTTCAGGCTGTCTCTACGGTTTGATCAGATATAACAATAGTCACATTTGTGCTTGTGGTACAGAGATACACTATGGAATAGCCTTCAGCAGATCTTGCTACAGGGACCACATTGTTGGGGAAAATAGTAACAGATGTATCCTTGAACAGGTAGGGAGTTGGTGGTAGAACTGTTATCTTGGTGTCTTTCCCCAGTAATTGAAATAATTGAAACATTTTTAACATTTTAACTTCATGTTCTTGATCCTTTCACCAACTATTAGCATAGTTATCTAAAATAGTACAGTATGAGAAGACACTTCAAGATTGAATGAATGAACTTAGCTATAACCGATGCAGTAGAAATGTACTAGCATAGATTTTATTCAGAATATATTTCACATGCTCTGGCAGGATGAATATGCTATATCATTTCAATTGAAATTAAATTTATATAATTGTCCGGGTTTTTAATCGAGAATGTTTCCTTTTATCAGATCTTGGAGTATTTAAAAATAAACCTTCAAACACCAAGAAGTTCTTCACTTCAAATTTTGAGTATTTTTGCTAATGTTTGATATCATTTGGTTTTCAGTTATTTCGGAAGATAGTCACTTCATGCTGTGCATTTTCTAGGATTTTCAGCCCAGCAGTGCATGTTGCATTTTTTAATTGACAAGAATACTTTTAATAATTTGGCCAGGCCTTTGTTTACCATTTGATCGGCATTTCTGTACCCCTGGATGCAATTTGTTCTTCATTGATTCATCAGTTGCTCTTGTGGAATTGCTTTAATGACAAACATCACAACAATGAGAAACTGACTAAATAAGGTTCACCTAACTTTATGAAAGATCTTAGGTTCTCACATATGAGCATTTAAACTTAAGTTTTGAACTGCATTTTAAATACCTGGAGATGGTTTTTGGAGGATGTGTCCCATGACTTAAACTTTAAAAATAATATCTGAAATTGCATACATCTTGCACATGTCTTGCTTAAATCTGTGAATAAATGCATCTGCTAAACAAAAAAACTCTAATATAACATGTTGAATGAGCAAGGTGAGTGACATAGAATTATTCATGGGGGGGAAATTAACTGCATTACTTAGAAAAGAAACACTCCTGAGCCTGAGAGGGGTGTAGGTTATCCTTTACAATTGCAATCATTTTGACCTTTTGTATCTTATTTATTGCCATTTATTGAGTATGTTATTTTGTCTGCTACATTCCATACAACTGGAAAATGCTGAAATGGTCCATTCTGAGACCATCAGTGCTATTCTCTGACAAACATTTTAAGCGGCATCATGAAGCTTGTTCATTCCAATTTTTGTTTTTGTTTCAGGTGCAGCATATTGCCAGTTTATGGATATGTTATTCTCGGGCTGTATTAGTTTGAAGAAAGTAAAATTCCAGGCTAAATTGGAACATGAGTACATACACAATTTCAAACTGCTACAGGCATCATTTAAGAGAATGAATGTTGATAAAGTAAGTAATGGTTTGAAGTTATCTAGACTATAGTTAAGGCTTGGATTTTTCATTGCCGTGGAACATTGCTTTGATGTTGAAATTGTACTTGGGAGGTGGGGGAGTGTTCATGCATTGTCAGTGAATTAAGAATAAATTGTTATGTTCATAAATCATTCTTCAATAACTAGTTTCTGGGAAATCATAGATATGGTTTTTCAGATGCTTTGGATGCCCTGCCATACTTAACAATGAGTGGCAGCCCCACAGCTATTTAACGCTTAAAGGAGTGTTAATTGGATAGAGACATGATTTTCATCCCAACTCAGTTCCACCTTGGATGCATTTTAAGTCATCAAGCACCTTCTCTGTAATATGGGCGCTTTTCAAGATATTGCTGTTTATTTCCCCAAGGTCTCTAGATTCCACATCCTTCTGCACACTAAATACCAACGCAAACTACTTATTCAGTATCTAACCCATCTCTTGCGGTTCCATAAAGAGCTAGCCTTGTTGATCTTTAAGGGGCCCCATTCTCTCTCCAGTTACTCTTTTTTGCCAATGATATATTTGTAAAATCTCTTTGGATTCTCTTAACCTTATCTGCCAAAGCTATTTCATGTCTCCTTTTTGCTCTCTTCATTTCCCTTTTCCCTTTTGAGTATACTCCGACTATCCTTATACTCATCGAGGCATTTACTAATCATTCAGCATTCCCTACACCTATCAGCCTTGCTGTTCACACTAATAGGAACATACTGCTTCTGGACTCTCTATCATTTTTGAAGGCCTCCTACTTTCCAAATGCCGTTTTTACCTACACATAGCCCCGTGTAATTGACCTTTGAATGTTCTTGCCTAATACCATCAAAATACCATCAACACCAATTTAGAACTTTTATATCAGGTCTATCTTTTTTCCACAACTATTTTAAAGCTAACAGAATGTTGATTACTGGCCCCAAAGTGCTCCTCCCACTGATGCCTCAATTACTTGCCCTGTCTTATTTCCCAAGAGAAGGTCAAGTTTTGCTCCTTCCCTAGTGGGTACGTTTACATATTGAATAAGAAAATTCTCTTGTACGCACTTTAAATTTCTTTCCGTCCAAACACTTAACATAAACTGGGACTGACCTAGTGTTTGGAACGTTAAAATCCCCTACCATTAGTATCTTAAAATTTCTGAAAGTTGCCTGAAACCTCCTTACGTATTTGCTTCTCCATTTCCTGCAGACTGTTTATAGGGGGCGAGGTGGGGGTGGAGGAGGGTGCCTATAGCATAATCCCAGTCAGGTGATTATTTCTTCACTGAATGTACTCCTAGCTGTAATGTTATCCCTAACCAGAAATCCCACTCCCCTCCTGTCTTGTTCCCCCGCCTCCTTTCTATCCTGCCAAAGCCTCTATACTCTGGAACGTTTAGGTGCCAGTCCTGCCCTTCCCAGAGCCACATTTCTGTAATCCCAGTCCCATGTTTCCAACCATACCCTGAGTTCATCTGCCTGATCTGTCAGGCCTCTTGCATTGAAATAAATGCAGTTTAGTTTCACTTTTTGTTCTCTGCTTTGCTGCTGTCTGCCTTGACTTGTTCCTTTTGTCAACTGAGCAAGCCTCAGACTTCTTTTCGTTCTCTCTCTCTCTCACTCTCTGGGTTGCCTCCTGAGTAGCACTAACAAATTTCCCCTCCTGGATATTGGCCCCCTTCCAATTCAGGTGCAAACTGTCCTCCTGAAACAGATCACCTCTACTCCAGAAGAAATTTCAATGATTCAAAAATGCAAATCCCTGCCCCCTGCACCAATTCCTCAGCCACACATTAATCTGCTTTATCCTCCTATTCCTACTGTCACCACCTCATGCCATTGAGTAATCCAGATATTACTACCCTAGAGGACCTACTTTTTAACCTTCTGCCCAGTTTCCCATATTCTCCCTTCAGAACCTCATCCCTTTCTCTTCCTGTGTTGTTGGTACCAAGGTATACAACTACTTCCTGCTGGTCATTCTCCCTTCGGAGAATATTCTGCACCTTCTCCGAGACTGTCCTTGGCTCTGGCACCGGGGAGGCACTAGAGAAGCCAGGGGTGGAGGAATACCCTAGGAAGATGTTGGTGAGGTGGACACCATGGCCTTTTTTTGCCTGAGCAAGGTGAGCTGTTTGACTTCTGCCTACCCCTGAAATGCTCCTGCCATCCTCAAAATTGAGGACGGCAGAAAGTGGACCTTCACTGGCCAATAATTGGGCACTCAAATAGAGTAAGGCTGGGCATGCTGTCATTTTTAAACAGTGCACTCTAATTCTGGCTTGTCCCTCAAGAGGAAACGTGTTCAGCATAAAGGATCCTTGCATTCTCGTAAGATCACCTCTCATTTTCGAAACTGTTATGGACAGGGATACTTTGGATAGAGATTAGTTCCCATGACATAAGTTTGCCTCTGCCTCTGCCTCTGCCGCTGCTGCCTACCCCCACCCCACCCCAAACTGTAACAGTTGGAGAGAGTGCCACATTATATCTCTGCAGGCAGCCCAGTGCAATTTTAGTACACTTAAGCACGTAACCGAGCAATGTTGAGGCTCCAACACGATTAAGACATCTGGTGGGTGGGATGGAAATCCTGCCCCTTAGAACAATTGGCCAACAAGGAGTTAACAACATTGATGGAAGTGCCACTGAAAGTAGAGAATACTCCTGGTAATGCTTCAAGGCCTACCTAGAGGATCAAAGAGGCCCTGGTGACAAGTGATTGGCAACTCCCTACCTGCCCAATGAGGGGCAAGAGAACTGAGTGAAATAAGGGAAAGATGAAACTGTCTGTTTCCTTCTTCCCCTCCCCCTCAAATCAAACGATTGGATGCTGAGTGACCGAACACTCTGAACACCACCTACGAATGCAGACAACCTCCAGAGTGTTTACTGGGCTTCAGCTGAGCCAACTTCAAAGCAATCCAGTGGTTTCTTCTTGCATTCTTTTAATTGTTATAAATTAGGAATTAATTGTATTCAGGTTATGAGTATTGACTGGAGGCTCAACTGGTACTGCTTTGCATATTTGTGACTGACATGGCAGAAAAGACTGAAAAAGGCTTTTTGGCTGTCCAGTAATAAAGACAATACTCCAGTATTTAATCCTTTACTTGACTATCCAACTTTGAACCTTCTCTTGCTCACCAAAAACCAAGAATCTTGGCAATCTGCCCTTTGAGAGATTTTACATGTTCTTTGAGCGCTGTTTGCATTATTTTATCTTGTCACAAAGTTCAGTACTTAAGGGATGGAAATTATTTGTAAGAGCTACTGGTTTATGCTCATTATGGAACTGACATGATTGTACATGTACTGGCTTTACCTAGGGCAAAGCAGAACTGCGGCACATTTTGGGAAGTATCCAGTTGTGTGGGGAAGTGCCTCCTTGTTCGAAATCAATACTGACGTCATTTCATTATGATATCTTGCATTTGGGAATCCAGAAATTAAATGTGGAAAACACATGCATACGTGCAGCATACAACAACAAATTAATTTTTGTAATTTTGTTCTGCACGCTATTCTGAAAAATAAATTCTTTGCAATGTCATGGTAAAGCAACTTCCCATCAAAGCAAAGAAAGAATATGCATTTTTCAAATTTCTTTGTGATCTCTCAAGAGCTTAACAGAGGTTGATGTCCATTTGAAGTCTCATCACTGACGTACGTAAATGTTGTTTTTGTGTTGAAATGTCATCGTTTTCTGCAAACTTGACCTTGCATTCTTTCATATTCTTCTTTTTTGTCCCTTTTTTTTATAGTTTAAATTTTTGACATGTGCCTGACCAGAATCGTTTTGTTTATTTGTAAGATGAAATCAAGTGTGTGAAGCTATATCTTGGTTTATTCCAATTGTGAAATTTTTTGAATTTTTGCTATATGATTATTGTGCTCATTTTCATTTTGTGTATCCTCCACAATCTTGCGTATGGATTTAGTTATTTCACGTAGTCCTATTTTTCCTGGCTTTGATTAGATTATATGCACATGCCATTAAATAAAATTGTGCATTTATTTTTATTTAGGTTATTCCAGTAGAGCGGTTGGTTAAAGGTCGCTTTCAGGATAACTTAGAATTCATTCAGTGGTTCAAAAAGTTTTTTGATGCAAATTACGATGGTAAAGAATATGATCCTGTGCTTGCTCGACAAGGTCAAGATGCTATTCCACCACCTAATCCTGGTGAACAGATTTTTAATTTGCCAAAGAAGGCAGTCAGCTCTCCAAGTGCAGGTAAGTGTATTCAGTGTTTGTAAATATGACAAACTGTAAAATACACATATACTATCACCTCTGCTTGTTCTTTTGCTCATGCCATCTTGATAACAATGTTCAGTCTTTTCCTAATTTCAGCTTTTCTGTAATAATCATTCAGTTCAACTCCGTATCCCAGGTATCCACAGTTCATCAGCATTGTGGTGGCTCTCAATGATATCTTCTGCAAACGGAGGGTCTGTATGCACAAGTACAAGTACAGTTATTACTGTTATCCCTCTGCTGTTATCAAAATTGTAAAAAAATGGATGAGTCAGAAATCCTGTAGCAATTGCTGAAACAAACTGTTTTATTCTTGACAACATGCACATTTTCAGCATTAATTTGTTTTATTGCCGGCTCAGAATGAGCCTTGTGGTGGGCGATTTTGCAGTTCATTTCAGTCTTGAACTTAACTTTGTGTTTCACATAAGATCCATGAGAGAGGCCACCATCTTCTGCCCCTGTGACATTGCCTACTTAGACTTCAACTTCCTCCCGCCAGTAAATATTGCTGAACTACTTGTGTTCTTCATCTTGTAGATTAATTTCTTGTATGCCTTTTATTTTGTGTAGGTTTTTTCCTGCTCTCTTTCCATTCCAGTATAGGGGGAAAAAAGGTGCTAACGAAAGCCTGATCTTTAAAATTGACCTCCAACTGTAGGAGTGTTCATTCATTTACAGTATTTATGGAGCACCTTTTTTAAATGTGATTAAAATGTCCCAGAGCAGGTACTTAACAGGAACATTATGAATTACAACTCAACACTAGGCTACCTGAGGTGGTATCAGGCAGATAGTCACGTATGTAGTCAGCAAAGTAGACTTAAGAGTGTCTTAAAAGAAGAAAGAGAGGTGGAGAGAGTTGGGAGTGAATTCCAAAGATTAGCAGCTGAAGACACTGCTACCCTTTTTGAGCTGCAATTAAAATGGGGAGATGCACCAGAGACCAAAATTAGAGAAGCACAGATATTTCGGAAGGTTTTCGGGTAGGAGGGGATGTGAGGGTTGAAGATACTGAACTTGAAAACAAGAATGAGAAGTTGGAAATTAAGGCATTGCTTAACCAACATAAATTGATCAGCACAGGAGTGGCAGGTGAGCATCATGCAAGTTAGGCTACAGACAGCAAAGTTTTTCGATAACCAAGTTATTTAAGATAAAATGCCAGTGATCAACCAGACATCTGATGGAACATTTACCTTTTAAAAGCAAAAAGTGAGGGTTTTGGCAAGTGATCAGCTGAGGCAGGTGGGAACTCGGGCAGTGTTGTGTAGGTTTTAACTACATGCTCTTAATGATGGTGTGGATCTGTGTTTGAAGCTTATTTTAGAGTCACATCTGGCACCAAAGTTGTGAACTGTCTATCTGATTTTGAGTCTTTGACAGTTCCAGGAAGAAAGATGGAGCTGATGACTATGGAACATTGCCTTTATTCCCATGACAAAAACTATGACTATGTTCTTTCTTATATTGGAAGAAATTTCTGCTCATCTAGTACCTAATGTCAAGCAACCAGTCTGATAATTTAAAAATGGTGGGGAGTTAAGATGGGTGGTAGTGTTAGGCCTGGGTGTTGTCACTGTACATGTGAAAATTGATGCTGTGTTTTAAGATTATATCACTGAGTAGCAGCGTGTAGTTGAGAAAAATGGTGGTAAAGATAGATCCTTGGGAGATGACAGCAATAATGCAATGTGAGAGCAGTAAGAGAAGTCGTTGCAGGTGATTCTCTGCTATGATTAGGTAGAAGCAAAGGTGTTTGCAGTCCCATCCACGTAAAAAGCTGTTTGATAAGGACATTGTGTTCAATAATGTGAAAGGCTACGGACAGATCGAAGAGGATAAGGCCGGTCCTACAGGCTGTCATTTGTAAATTTAAGGATTATTTTGGTTCTGTCAGAGGTTGGAACCCAATTGGAGAGATTCAAGCTTGGGACTCTGGAAGATATATTATTAATAGCTACCTGCTTGTGTGTTTTCTTGATGTGCTTGGACAATTAATGGGAAATGTTTCAAGATTATACCAGTTTTTCTTTAGGATAGTTCTTCTGTTGGATCAAATTGTTGGATGTAAAAGGGAGCACGTAGGAGACATTTTCAGGGTGCGGCAAAAGATTATTTGAGTAATCCAGTGCCATTCTTAGTGAGTAGATGGGAGATAACCAGTGCAACTCGGAACCTCCAGCCAATTTCTTAGTATGTAGCACTGCAGCAGCTTTGAAGTGTTTCCAATCGGCTTGATCTTGAACAGCTGTTTGACATGCAAATGTTGTGTGTCTGAAGTAAAGAGAGCAAAATGAGTTCTGTCACAATTTTTGTGGTTATCCAATAAATTTCCTTCATAATGAATTTGACTTTAATGAAGCCATGGATGGTTAGATGAAGTGTCGTGGCAATTAAGTTAGTAAATCTGCATTTGACCTCAATAAATTTGTAACATAGCATATGGATTAATGCTCTTGTGCCTTTTTTAATATTAAACTATGCAGTTTGATACAATTGCACTAAATTTTCCCCAAATCCTAAGTTGACAGTTCCTTACTTCTGTAGTCTCTTGTAATAGAATTATTCCTGGAATGTGAATGGTAAACCACTAGATCTTTTCTACTTACTTATCCTTAATGCAATTGATGAATTTTATCTTGTATATGCCATATTTCTTCCCCTTCTCTTTTGACCGTTAGCTCGGAATTGGCTTCTGATTCTGCTAGCTTTCCATCTAGTGACTAACTTTACATTCATTTCATGTGCAATTTTTTGCAAATGTTAAATGTTTAACAAGTTATCAACCAAAATTGCTAATTATACAGTAATGTTATCTTTTATGTACTAAGAAAGCTTGTAGAGCACAAAATTGAGAAAAGCTATCCTCTGAATTTACTGATCGCACAATTTTAATGCACATGTTGCATTAAAAGATTAGAAGTATACAGTTAAATGCAACTTTCTACCAAATGTCACTAAGAATTGCAAGTTGCCACCAAGCAGTTGCCATTTTTTAATGAGCGTTCAGGGTTAAACAAAAAAGCTATATTTTTTCTTCCTGAGTGATATAAGGTCATTCAGAGAGCCTCCTAATGACAACTGAGGAAACCAGATTAATGTATTTCTCAGCTACATAATGTTAAAGATATCAAAACTGATTAGATCAACACTTGGTTCACTTCATCCATCGACTCTATGCTGTTTAAATAGTTTGTAGAAGAGTTAATTTTGATTTGAAAACGTTTTAATTTTTTTATAATCTGCAGCTGTAACTAATATTATTTCCACTTAAATTTTACAAAGCAATTTCCAATGTCATAGGTGAAAACCTCTGAAAATAATTGAAAGCCTCCTCACATGACTGGGTAACATTTAAAGCACCTTCCATGCAGTTGTTTTGCTTCTGATTTTTCAACTGTTCCCTATGAAAAAAGTAGTTAAACATGTATGTCAATTTGCAAGAATGTCCAAGTTTTCATATTTAAACTGAGTGCTAAGATTTTGGTTCTTTAACACTAGTTGTAACTTGGATACTTTTTAATTCCTCATCAAGTTAAATGAAGACTGAATTTCTATCATTGCTCTCCAGATTACAGAGCATATAAAGCTGCATGAAAGTGTGACTTGTTTATCATAATTTACATTAACTTTAAAAAAAGTTGTTCAGGTGGTTCAATTTGTGCCCAAATGGTAGGTGCTGCTGCTTCAAAAAGCACTCCATCTCCTAAATCAGCGTCAACACCATCTAGGCCAACTTCAGCTCAAGCTAGAAAGGCACCAGGAGCAAAAAGTGGTGGTGATGCAGAATCACATATTGCACAATTGAATGAGCAGGTATGTGGTAGTAAGTCTAAACTTTCTAGTAATTATCTATTCGGAAATGATGAGTACTATCAAAGTGTAGCTGAAGTCTAGTCCTGATGAGCATAAATTCATGGTTAAGGGTGTTTTTTTTTTTTTTTTTTTTTTTTTTTGTTGATTTTTGTTGATGAGGTAGTGGATGCTTTTTCCTCTTTACATTTCTCTTGTCAGACTTCAGATGTATTCAGACTAGCAGTTCGTTAGCAGGACTACGGCTATCTGTCATAGCCACCACCTGTCAACTTTCGGATTGATCATGATCTCTTCTGCCTTAGACCCTGTTCTAAGTCTATGACATGATCTATTGAGACATGATCTTTTTGTACAATCTGTAGTTGGTGTGATTGGGGCTGTGTAATCTACAGATAAAGCCAATTTTGAGCCAGATGATAAACAGTTTTATTGAAGTAAAAGTTGGTAATAGGTGTTTAATCTTCAATATATTTTCTTTGTAGATTTTAAGTTTGATCTGTCAACTTTATTTTTGTGCTGTAGTGCCAGTTTTGATCTTTGAAGCTGCTGGATAATAGTTGTAAACGGGTCAAACAGGCAATTTATTTTCTTCCTCAAAGCTGTATTTGCTAACGCCATTATTTATATCTTTTAAGGTAACAAATTCATTAAGTAGGTCTTGGTCAATGACTTCTTTGGCATGACTTTCTGTGGCATTTTAAAAAGTACTGAATTAATGAAATATTGCAATAAAAGACACAAGCAGTAGATTACATAACATTTACATTTGCTCCCCCCTCAAAATTGTTGTGATTCTTTCTATATTTATAAGCAGCCCTAATTAAGGCATTAAGACAGAATAACTTGCATAGAACTAATTCCCACCTCCAAACTGGAGTTGGTCAGTATATTTAACTCCATAAGTGTGAGGCATAACTAAGATTCTGTATGAAAATAGAGTAGGTATACTGATCTGCTTTTGAATACTTCCTAGTAATTGAACACACATCAGCAAAATGAGTTTTAACCAGCACTCCAGAAATTTGTAAAACAAAGTACTTGGTTGCTTAACCTGACCACCAAATGCAGTAATGGTTACGTATAATCTAAAATTACTCGGATAATGTTAAGATGGTAATGTTACATCACACAATTTGCCTGGACAGACATGTCACAAGAGGTTGGCTTTCTAGACCACAGAATTGCAGGAGATCTAGGATAGCCGTGTACAAGTTGATCCTTTGGTTATCTGGGGTGGTGAGGTGAGTGACATGCTCTTATTTGAGACAATGGCTTACAAGGTATGGAGTTGTACTTGGTGTGCATGCATTATGCATATTTTGATTAAGTGTCAATCACTGTTACTTCTGCATCTTTGTAAACCAATGATCAGGTCAGTAGAAAACAGCTACAAATGTTTTTATTTAAATTTTTCACTCTCAAAATTGCTGCTTATGCTGGATAAATAAACAACAACCACCAAGGTGCAGAGATGATTTCTTTTATGTAGCATTGTAAGGTATACCACTTGATTTCTTAAATCCTGTTATGCCAAACATATTTTGGAAGATAGTTGGGAGCTAACTCTTTGCTATTCTCTTCATTGAATAAAATTGAATAGACCAACTTTGTGATAGTAGAATGTTGGTAACACTGTCATGACACTCTGGCTACTGCTTTGGTTAAGAAGAGTGCCCAATAATTTCATACAAAACAAAAGCAAAATACTACAGATGTTAGAAATACTCAGCAGGTCAGGCTGCATTTATGAATAGAAAACTAGAGTTATCTTTTCAAGTCTGTAACCTTTCATCAGAATTACTGACCCAGTCTCAGACCTGAAATGTTAAGTAACTCTGAGTGGAATCTTATAGGGAGCGACATGGGCTATGGCAAGATGTGTGACAGAATCAGGTGACAAAGTGGCAATGCCTAGCTTGACCTAGAGATCAACTCGCTTGATTCACAGGTGATTCTTGCTATGCAGCAGCAAGCTGCCAGTTGATGGAGAGTGACCCTTGTTAAACACTGTTTTAACATGACAAGGCACCTTATTAATATTCAGACTGCCACCTTACCAAACTTGTCAACAAACTAGACATCAGGAAAACTTAAGGAGACCAGAACATGTACCTGGCAGATTCAGTTCGCTGCCTGCTCTAAACTACCACCGTATTGGACATGAACAACATCTTGGGGCGTTATTCCCAGGCACTACCTGAACACACTCTTCTTCCTTAGATGACCATCCAGGCACTTGCATTATGCACTGGGCACGGCATACTGGTAGTCCAGTGCAGGGTGTCCCAGCCACTTGCATTGCAACACTGCGGTTGGGACAGGCATTTGGCTTGCAAACTGTGCTGGGCTGCATCTCGGGGTTGTTTGCTTGCTTTTTTGGCACTAACTCTATTAGTACCTACTCACTTGCTCATAGTATCCCTCCCTTGCTACGTCCATCAGCGAAGTTGCAGAAATGGGCAGCATGCGTTGTTGTCAGTAGCCCTCAGTCTAGTGGGTGCACATCTTGCTCAATGGCAGGGTGCTACATCAATTTCACATCTGCTTCCCATGCCATTAGCTTACACAGCAAATGCACTAAATGTGTAGTAAGCAGAGAGCCATGTATTTAACTCCTAAGGGAAGTCGTTATCACTGAAGTCCATTGAGCCACCTGTCAGTCAGGGGGTTTGGGCATAGTAAGTTAAGGGAAGTCTCCCATACCTGTTGAGGACATTGGTCACAGTCATGCATCTGGTCAGGGGGGTGATCTTAGACAGGAAGTCTGTGCCTCTACAATCTACAGAGTGGGTTACAGTCGGGCCATTGCAGCAAGTTTGGGAGCATAGGACTAATGCAGTCAGGAAGATATGTTGGGCCATGGTCAATCTGTTGGGTCAGCCCACAGAACCTAAGGGGGAAGAAGGTGGGTCAGCAAGTATGGCCATTATTGTGGACCTTGGCAGTTTAATCTTTGGAACTGGGAGCTGCACACTTTGGACAAAGGTGCAGTATAGTTGTGAAGGGGTCAGCTGAATTTTGAAGGCTGGAAAGGGTGTAATGCTGGAGGTGATCCACAGTAAGAAGCATCCGGGCTTCTGTGGGGAGAAGGTACAATGCTGAAAGTCTGTGCAGGAATGGTAGGCAGGTAAAGCCAAATATAGTAGGGTTGAGTTGGGACATTAGGAAGTATGAATCCTATGAATTGGCTAATATCAAAGGGATGTGAATATCTGGGGGCTCACCAATTTGGGTCAGGCTGAGGCTGGAAGTGCTCGCAGCTGATCACTCGGTGTTGCTTTGCATTGTGCCTTTTTGATTCCGGCACGATGAGAAGAAAAGGCTGAGACCGCACAGTGGACGGGATAAGTGACTTGACCTGTGAAGGGGGCTTCACCCATAGAACGTAGAATGGTACAGTATAGGAACAGGCCCTTTGGCTCACCATGTCTGTGCTGACCATGATGCCATTCTAAACTAGGCCCATCTGCCTGCACATGGTCTGTATCTGTCTATTCCCCTGCCTGTTCATGTTTGTCTAAGTGCCTCTAAAATGTTGCTATCGCATCCACATCAACATTTTTGTACATTTTTTATTTACAAAAAGACTACCTTCAGCCATAGCACCAAAATGCCTGTGGTATATTTCCTTATTTCTCACCCTCCCACTATGTCTCAGTGCACTCCCTTGTTCTGCAGCTGGGGTGGGGGGGGGGGGGAGGGGGGGAACCTGCTGTAATGTAGTACCCTTCTGCTTTGGAGGTTTGGTGGGATGACCCCTGGGGAAAACTTGTCTAGATGAGTGAGACAGTGTTGACCCTTCTTGGTTTGAACTTCCAATGGTTGGACAGGGTGGAAATGGATTGCTTGTCCTCTGCACTGTCTTGAGTGCAAGCTGCCACCTCCTGTCACTAACCTGTCTCCATGTGAGGAGGGGTCAAGAATTTTGGTCAAGGTTCCCTGTCCCTTGTTGCCATGTCTTCAGTCCTCGGGACCAGTGTCTGGGATGATGGAGTGAAAGTGTTCATGATTTTCCAGCAGACCAAGTAGCTGGACCTGGCTCTCCGTGGCAGCCACCAGCCCGTTCATGGAGGCAGACAGTCAGAGCGATGCAGCCAATGAGGGCGTTGAATCCCATATATCTGTATGCTGCTGCTGCTCTAATGTGCATTTGGATGAATTCCCTGATTGCCATAATCACAGGATCATCTACTACTGGGGCTGGTCTGCAGCAGTGTGGGAGTGCTAGTTCTCTGGGATTTTTCTTCTGCAGCTAGCTGTGGAGCTCTCATGATGAGGTGCTCACAAAGTATAAACCTCCACTTGCTATGCCTAAGTTGAGGTGTCTGTATCTGGACTGGTGAGCAGTGCAGGAGGCAGCCTTGCTATTTCTTCTCCGAGGCCTCCATACACTCATCCTCGGGTCCTGGAGGACTTTCTGCTTCTCTGCAGATGTTGGGAGGCTAGCAGAACATGTAAGAGATGATGTGGCCAGTAGTTGGATGTGTTGCTCAATGATTGAGAGTAATAACTGGAGAGTGGGAGTGGCATGTAGGGTGGTAATTGTTCTTGGCACCCCTGCAGTTGTGGTCTGGTCTTCTGTGAGGGCCAAGAGTCTCTCATAGGGGTGAAGACATTGAAGGGAACCTGCCCCACCCATTCAGGCTCTCTGCTGGTTATGGACTGTCTTCTCCTGTAATGAGGAGAAAAAAAGGAGAGAATGACTGGATGACAATTAGTTTGCATGCGGGGAAAAGGTAGTGAAGTGTTCTGATGAATTAAGGTGTCAGCATGGAAAACATGCAAGATTAGTGGCATGGGAGAGAGAGCGGTTAGAGAATGCATTGCAAGCAACACTGAGGGTAATGGGGCATTTCGGGGTGGAAGGCGCAATGGTAGCGATAAGAGTGTGACACTTACCCTGAAGGAGCAGGAAAGGTTGTATGTATTCTTTCTGAACTACTGGCCATTCCTCTGCATCCTGGAGTCACTGACCTAGGTGACTTCAAACCAGGCTGGCAGTGTCTGGTGATGTGGCCTCCTCTGCCAGTTCCCTGGGAAGAGGAACTGTTCTTCACCTATCCACCAGGTCCCTGTCAGAGAAATGCAGCGCCTCTTTCACGGCCATGTTCTGATTCTGCCTGTTAGTGAGCAGGGCAGCTTTGGAGTGTGAATGCCCATCTGGATGTACTGTGATGTTTTTAGGATGGGGAGAAAATTGGACATGATGGCTGTAGGCATGTAGTAGGTAATTAAAGTTGGGGTTTTGGTAAGATATATTGAGTTTTCTCACACTATAAGCATTGCAGTGAAAATTTTCCAATAATCTCAATGGAATTTCAATCCTCGGTTTCTCTCCATGGATGCTGCATGACATGCTGAGTATCTTCATATGAGCTTAATCTGGGTAACATGCTAGCACAGAGGCTAGAATGGATTGTGATACTACATCTCTGGGTAGCAATACAAACCTGGAGAGTGAAACTTATCTCCTTTTGAATCCACAATATATGTTGTAATACATTCAATCTTTTGGGTTCTTGTATACTGGAAATTCAATCATGATGGTGAAATGTTTTAATTCACTTTCTGGAGAGATTTGTTGGCTCCTGATGTGGCAACAGCAAACTTCTTTAATTTTAGTAATACTGAATAAGTCTTGATAATTAGTTGGAATACTTTTCAAGAAGGTTTCTACTTGCAGTTGAACATTCCTGTGACTCTTCGCAATACAATTTTTGACTAATTCTTGTTTTCCCAACTGAGCAGGTGAGTTCATTAAAACTCGCACTGGAAGGAGTTGAGAAGGAGAGGGACTTCTACTTTGGAAAACTGAGAGAAATTGAATTGATTTGCCAAGAACATGGGCAGGAGAATATTGACCTTGTTCAGCGACTTATGGATGTGCTATATGCTACCGATGTATGTATGGTTTTTACAATTTATTTATGATATTATGTAGAAATACTTTGTATTAATATATTTATTTTTAAATTGCAGGAAGGATTTGCCGTGCCAGATGAAGTTCAGGTTCAGGGTGAAGAACTGACTCAGGAGCCAGAAGAGTATTAACTGGCAACATGAGCATTCACTTGGAATGAAGAGTACACTGAGGACTTCATGGAATGAATTGCTTCAGTTTGAACATTAGCCTTTTATCTTCCATACTCTGCAACAGCAAAGTACTGTATTCCATACCCATTATCTTACCACCATGCATTTACAGCCATTATGTTTCTTTACTGAAAAAATGTGGTAATTTTGGGACTAAATTTAACCATTTGCATTATGGCTTATGAGAAATATGGTTTGACAAAACAGTTGATTTCAAAAGTTCCATATCCATCATCAAAGGTTTTATCAAGTATGTTTGATGAGCAAAGATGCAGTATTAGAATTTTATACTCACCATGTTTATTTTCCTTTAAACCTGCTACATGGAGAGTAACCCATCACTTGCATTCTGCACGTTACACAGGCAATGAGTGTGAACCTGTTTGTATATGAAAACAGTTTGAGGAACGGATTCTGAATTACTTGTAAAGAAAGGCTTATTAAGCTGGAATTCACCTGTTTTGAAAATTATCCACAATTTGTTGCATGATGGGGTAGATTTGTTTCCAAAACGTAAATAATTGCTATTACTTTTATCTTTCTACTTATTTAATAATAAATTGGTTGTGTGTTTTATATTGTGGTCTGTGTATAAAGGTCTTCATAAGGAAACTACTAGTGCAGTGATATAATACACATAGAAAATCACATTCATCAGGAGTTTGTGTTTAAAATCACCAAAATTATTCTGACAGCCCAATAGTATTCACATATATGGGCAGAAGGAAAATGAATACAATAATAGTACAGATGTACAGGGTGGGTAATATGATCTGGGAACTGTATCAACACCAATAAAGATACAAGTCTGAATGACAATCTTGGGAGATGGTGCACATCAGCTTTCCCTTGATTTTTTTTTTAAAAAAAGTACTAGGCATGGATTAATTAGAGTTATAGAGTAATTATAGCACTGATGCAGCCCACTAGGCTAATCTGGAACTACAAACAAAATCAAGGAGTTGGCCTTACTGCATTAATCATACTAACTTGTGAGTCAGCTCAAGGAGTGACTTCTAATAATTTTGTTAGCAGTAAAAGTAGACCTCATTTTCCGAAGGAAATGTTGGATAGTGAAAGGAAAAAAGCATTATGCATGCAAATGAAAAATCATACCTGGGATGTATTAATGGCATAGAAAGGGAAGACTATGTTTCAACTGATCAGTGATGTCAAAACCTGTTACGATATGTACATATCAGGCAAATGAGTGCGATCTTAATATACGAGTTCTGTACAAGATGATATACATACGTTTCTATCATGAGTTTATTCTCATGTTTGTGTTTTGCTTTTTGTTCATTCTTCACTTGAGTTTTTATAAAACAAAATTGTAATAGATCTGTCAACTGTAACTAGGCTACTGCTAATGTGTCAAGTATGTATAAATGTAGGCTGTTTTGGTTTGTCTATTTCCAATTGTAGAATTGGATAATGTGTTAATCCATAACACTTTTTAATACTTTATTTGGCAACTTAACACAATTTCCCGCTAAAAATATTAGGGATATGGCTGACCATTTTGTTGAGCAAAAATAAATCTGAACTACATGATTGTTTTTGAGATACTCATTAGCTTTTCATGTAGGAGGGAGAATTTGATTCCTAGTTTACCATATGTGAAGAAATGCTTCTGATATTACCCCATCGTAACACATATCTCTAATTTTAGGGATATGTTCACTTGTGCTAGACTCCTCCATCTGAGGGAACAGTTCCTCTCCATCGACCCTATCAACTCTTAAACATCTTAAACAGTTCAATCAGATCACTTAACTGTGCACAGTAAATGGAATATAAGCCTTGGCTATGTGACCTGCTCTCATAAATCATTTTGTCCCTGTACCATTCTCTTTTCAAGCTGCTTTTATTTGGTGCCACCACACTTCACCTTCTCCCAGTCTCTCGGCCTTCTTTCAACCCTATTGTGTGCATGCATTCATCTGGTCATAGGCCTTCCTCTTCTTCTTTCTGGTAGTCTTTGTTTCCATCTCTTGCCTCATCATTTATCCTCCCTGTCTTCACAACATATTACCACACCATTCTCAACTACTTCAATGTTTCCACCATCTTCACTAAACCCCTAATATACTGATTTCTGATCTTTTCCTTTCTATCACTCCACACATTAGTCTTAGTATTTGCATCTCATTAGAATCCAGTTCTGCTGCTCCTGACGTCACTGAAGTTTCTGACTTATAAATTATCTTGGAGTCATCCTTTTGTGATAGGAAACTATTGCTTAAAATTAAAACATGCACTTCTATTTACTCCAACCAGAGCTGATCCATTTCCTGATTTCCATTTCTGCACTTCTGCCACCAATGACTCATGCCATAATTTTTACATTTTCACTCTGATCCTCCTACCTACACTCAAACTATCAGTCCTTAAAGATGCTGCCTTAAAATACTGTGTGTACTCGTGTAAAAGTTGAATTTTTTAGACTTTGAGTAAATTTATGGGGTTGACAATGACATTTGAGAGGCTGAAATTCATGCTACAGTCCAAAATGCTGTATCATTACCAGAAGCCCAATTGATCTGTAAGTAAATAAAGGAAAAAGTGAATTACAGTAATTACTGGATAAAGACAATAGTAGTAAAATGAATTAGTAAGCTTTTATTTATACATAGAAAATATGGCTATAAATTACAATTATGTGGTACATCTTAAACAAATTAAAATTAATTGACATCTTAATTAGCTTTTTTTCTGCCAGTTTCTGATTACAAACTGCTGAAACTGTAATATCCGGTTCAGCAGGCAGCTTTTATGCATCTTAGTTCTCTGCTGAAATAGTAAGTCATGCCTTCTCATGAACCTTGTGCACCATCCAGCACTTGCCTTAAAATGTGAAATTCCATCCTCCTTTGATTTGTTTCATGCATAGTTTCAAATGACTTCACAACTAATACACTTTCCATTCTGATGATTTTCAAGTACCCACTCCAACTTTTTTCTGCAATTGCAGCGGCTACTTGCTAGGTTTACCTCTCTTTGGCACACTTTCGTTTTGGCATTGTCTGAAATTGGTTTGATATCTTTCTCCAGTCTGTCAAGTTTCTTTGAAACACAATTCTTGATCTGCTATGCAGTTATTTGTCTTCTCTACGACTTCAGTAACTTTCAGTTTAAACATTGCTGTAAAATTTTTGCTTTTTCTGGATGGCATTTTTACACAAAATGATGAAAAAATTTCAAAACCTCAACTAGGTATATGACTGTATTCTGCAAGCATTATAGGGGAACTGAGCTCAGCTGAGCTGTACACAAAGGGACAAAAACAAAGTTGCTGGAAAAGCTCAGCAGGTCTGGCAGCATCTGTGAAGGAAAAAAGAGTTAACGTTTCGGGTCCGGTGACCCTCCCTTAGAATTGAGGAAGGGTCACCAGACCTGAAACGTTAACTCTGAAGGGAAAAACACAGATGCTACCAGACCTGCTAAGCTTTTCCAGCAACTTTGTTTTTGTTCCTGATTTACAGCATCCGCAGTTGTTTTGGTTTTTATGTAGATAAAGGGAGGTTGTCACCTGACACTGACCTGCTGCATCTTAAACTTGCGTGCTAAATTAATGTGAATTGTACATCAAAACACAATAGCACAAAAAAAATTTCCTTATTGTAACATTTGTGTACAGGATAATGCCTTGGCTCAAAAATGTTGATCTGTTATCTGTGAAGAAGTAGGGTCGACTTTTACATGAGATATATGGGAAATCCCAGATTTTCTGGCCAAAAGTACATGGTTGACTTTTACACGAGATCGACTTTTTTACTCGAGCATATGTGGTACTTTCTCCAGTTCTCTAGAAACTCAATCATGTTCTCATCATTCCCATCACATAGCTCAAAATCATTTAGGAATGGGCTCCGTGCCAGTTCTTGCTGCAATCCAGCTTTGGGCTTTTGAAACACTCACTGTCACCACACTGCTTCTTACACTTGTCTGGCACTCTTTATACATGTCCTGCAGTAATTACAAGTAATTCAGAAGAACTCTGTGAATTCTAGCAGATCTCTACTCTTCCTCTCTAGGTAGATGGTCATGAGCTTTCTCCAGATTTATGACCAGTTATATTCAAGTGTTATTGGGGAAATGTTATAAAGGATGTAATAGCAGAACATTTGGAAATACATAATATAACTAAGCAGAGTCAGCATAGCTTAAGGCACTACACTTTAAACTATTTAGATAAGATACTTAAGATGGTGTTGGATGTAGTATATTAGCATGGGTTGAGGATTAGCTAAGTGATGGAAGAATTGGGATAAGGAGACATTTTAAAAATGGCAGTCTAACTAGTGGAATACCACTGCTTTTGGTGCTGGGGCCACATTTATTTACAAGATAAATGACTTGGATAAGAAAAGTGTATCATTGCTAAGTTTATAAATAACACAAAAATAAGTGGGAGACAACAGGTATGAATGACAGTTTGCAGAGGAAAATAGACCGGTTAAGCGAGTGGGCATAAACTTGGCAGATGGAATATAATGGGAAGTTGTACTTTGAGACTATGAGGAAGAATAGAGGAGTTGAATATTATTTAAATGGAGAAAGAATGCAGAAAGCTACAGATCAGAGGGATTTGGGAGCCTCATGCATGAATCACAAACAGCTAGCATCCAATTTCAGCAGGTTATAAGGAAGGAAAATAAAATGTTTTATTTCAAGAGGACTGGAGTTTAAAAGTAGAGAGGTTTGGTAAAACTGTAAAAGGCATTGGCATACTGTGTACTTTTTCGGGCCCCTTAACTGTGGAAAGAGATGCTGTCATTGGAGGCAGTCCAGAGAATGTTCACTAGGTTGTTCCTCGATATGTAGGGAATGCCTTCTGAGGAGAGTTTGAGTAGATTGGGTTTGTACCCACTGTAATTTGGAAGAACAAGAGGCTACCTTATTTAAATGTACAGTATTCTTAATGGGATTCGATAGTAGATACAGAAAGTTTTTTTCCCACCTTGTGTGAGAGTCTATGTCTGGAGTGCGTAATCTCAGAATGAGTATACACCCATTTAAAACATGAATAATTCTCTAAAAGTAGTGAATCTGTGGAATTGTTCACTTCAGATTGCTGTTGAGGCTGGGTTGTTAAGTGCATTCATGTGCTCAGATGGACATATTTTTAATTAACAAGGGAATCCAGGATTATGAAAAAAAACAGGGAAGTGGAGTTGAGGATTATCAGATCAGCCAAGATCTCATTGAATGGTCTACTTCTGTTCCTACATCTTATGATTACCACCATTTTTTCCTTAGTCTCTGCTCCCTGATTCGCATATCTTGATGGCATGTGAATTGGTCTTTTCATTCCATATTATTCTGTTAATTTTTCACCACACTTTCTAAGGCCGCTGGTACTCAGAACTGAAAGTAGTGTTCTAAAATGGAATAAAGGCAAAATATTGCAGGTACTGGAAATGTGAAACCAGCTCAGAAGGCTGAGAAAACTCAGCCCATCTGGCACCATCTGTGGAGAGAGAAACAGTTAATGTTTCAAATGCAATATGTCTCTTCTGAAGAACAGTCATTCCAGACTGTTTCTCTCTCCACAAATGATGCCAGACCTGTTGAGTTTGTCCAGCCTTCTGTGTTTGATTTTAAAATGGAATCTGCACAATGCATAATGTAATTAACGTGACTTCTATCCCTTTCGATTTCAACTCCCTGTAGGACCAATATTCATGGCGTATTTTGATTTTTTTTTTTTACCTGTCCACTAGCATTTTAGCAATTTCTGTTTTGAGTCCTTAAATCTCTGTGCTGTCACAGTTCCTAGCTTTCTGCAATGAAGAAAATACTGATGTTTTAGATCTAACTTCACTCGCCACAGTTTTTCACACTTGTGCAAGCTATTAATATTCTTTTGAAATATTTTGCTCCTAGCTACACTGTTTACTTATGTATATATGGTGCTTGCTTCCATTTAGGTCATTTAAAACACTGAAAGTCTGAGGCCCCAGCAAAAATATCTCATTGTATTCTTCCAATTCGAGTACATGTGCAATATTCCTACTCTGTCTCCTACTCTGTCTCCTACCTTCTAATCAATTCTGTACCCATGGCAAATTGCATCCAAATCCAATGTTAATTCCATGTTGTGGAATGTTATAGAATGGCTTATTATACTCCATATAAATAACATCAATAGACATTTTATTGTGCAGCATATTAGTTATTTCACTTAGTCTTGTTAGACATGGTGTAAACTTCACAAATTTGCCCTGTTCTATGTCAAAAGATTTTTTGATTTGTTTGTAGCATATTTTTCTTAGCAAATGTTCTCATTTCACTCTGTTTTCTTTTGCAATTTAAAAGCCTGCAGGGTTTTTCTCAATATTAATTGAGAAATTGTTACAATGACCATACTTAAACCCACAACCTATTTTTCTGGATGTAAAAAAAATCTTCAGCTGCTATTAACATTTTGCAACAGCTGATATACTTTTCATTTTACTGGTTTGTTTATTGAAATTAACAGTCGATGTCCACAACAGGAGCCATAATTTACATTATAATATACTTACCAGTCCTAACTATTTATTTAATACCTTTTGGGTACCTGTTATTGGTATAGGTACTTTTTTATTGGTGTGTTTGGGTTTAATCAGACTTTGGGCTCTGGTTAGATTAACATCAATATTGATACAGTTATGCTTAAATAATTGATGCAAGTGCAGGTTAAAATGATCATCACAAGTTATTTAACTGACGCAGTACTTTTTGTTCTTAAGTTGTGCTGAAGGTCTAAAACTATTTCTTTGAAAAGTGGATACTTTAATCAAAATCCTTGCAAAGTATTGCATTTTTTCAACAAAAATGATTCTTTGCCTTTTCCAATCCAAAATGGCTAAGAAACAGCTTGCTTGGAATGTAGGAGCACATTCTGGGCTATACTATTCTGTGAGAAAGGATCTATATTTATGATATAGGACTAAATCATTAGCAAGTTAAGGTGTACTTGATCTAACTTTTTTCCAGATGATAAAGTATATGAAATATTTTTAAATGGAGAGGAATTGCAGGTCACTGTAAGAGGACCTCTAGCAGCAGCGCTTCCGTGAAATGAGGGACAAAAGATTTCTTCAATCTGATGTGAACGACAGGCTTAATTCCTTGTAAATATGCTGTTTTCATAGTTTAACCTTAATTTCCCTCCATGTTTGTAAAGGCCTGATGCTAGTAGAATAAAGAATGCCTGCTTCATGATTTTTGCGCCATCTGTGTGTTTAAATCTCATTTTACATTTGTATGAAACTCAACCTTTTGTTGCAATTTAATTTAGTTAGCACAGCAAATTAATATTTGCACAAGCTACGCTATATAATGGGAGAATGTAAATGTACAGTTAGAATTTTCAACCGGTTCCGGTTGTCCCTTTCTAATGGCTAATGAACTTGCCTTTTTTCTGATCTCGGCAATATTCTCAGAAGGATCACAGCAGGTTTTATTTTCTCAGAAGGATCACAGCAGGTTTTATTTTCAGGAACATGAAAATCATTCCAAGTCTTTGATGTACAGTATCTCGTCACTGGCAGAAATTTGTGGATCTAGACGGACAAGATGCTTGGAATTGGTATATGACAAAGGATAAAAATCAGACACAGTTGAACATAAGCATGTTTTAATTCAATTGCCATGAGCACTTTTATTTTTATGTTTTATGTAAAAAAAATCTAAATATTGCCTCTCAGTAAGAAATAGTTCTCCTTAGATGCTCAAAAGTTAATTATGGTTTATTTATTATGTTAACTCCTGTTGATTAACTTAGTTTAAATAGTAATGGTGTAGCTGTATGTTGAAAATTGTAGTAATACTTGCAGTATCAAAGCTTTGCTGCTAAAATCATCTTGTATGAATGTATCTGATAATTGTCATGTTCCATAAATGTTTTGTATACCAGATTCTTTAGATTGTGCGTGTAATGTTAGCACTACTAAGCCATACACCAAGAATATATCCGTAATCTGCAACAGAACTGGGCATGGATAAATAATCCAGAGATTGAATTCAGTTTCTGTTGAGACAATTTGAGAATTGAGAGTTTTTTAAAACTCTAAAAATATAAATCTTCCGTCAGTAAAAGTGACCTTGAAACAGACAAGTTTGTCATTAAAAGGACAACTGATTATGTTTTGATCAGTCATACAGTCAGTTTTCCCAAGTGCATGGTTGCCAAACCAGTGGCCTTAAAAGCGACTGCTAGATGCTGGTATCAAGCCCGTTAATTAATAAAAAAGACACACATCTCCTTTAACTGCTCTGGGCTAGCATCATAACTGACTGACCTGGCTTTCTCCAGTTTCAGATCACTGGTACTGTACTAATGAGGCCAACAGATACATTTTCTGTGATACTACTACAACCTTCAAGATATCTGCACTATCCCCTGCTGATAGATAACACTCACTAGAGGCAGTATTTCTGCCGCAAGCTCTTGATTAAACAAAATGCTTCTTACCCCTAAAATACTGACTTTGGAAATGACATAATTCAAACTCTTCATTATTTCTCTCCTCCAGTGCTTTTTTTTTTATTACTTTACTTTAGATGTTAGAACTGCTTTCAGGGCATACTGTATGGCATATTCAGTCTGGTCTCAGCTACACCAAAAGAAATGCTTTTAGTTTTAGTTTTGTTGTTAAACTACTGATTTGGAAAAACATTCTTTCCTTTGTTGAATGGTTTCATACTACAATTTGCATATGTGGAGGAAATCAAACTAAACATGAAACAATGGTTTTTCTCCATTCAAACAAAGTTATGTCATATTAAGCGACAGCTTATTTTCTTCCCAAGACCATTGTTTTGTGACTACAAACCTAGGCTCAGGACCTGCTTCTAGGTCTCTGCCTAAACTCTGGTTTACCCTCTGTTTGACACTTAGCACGGAGCAGTGTGGGGCAGGTGAGTAACTGGTTGGAAGAAAACAGACTTGTACTCCTCCATTCACATTATACTACATACTCATTAGGAGAATACACATCACTGTCACTTCCTCCTGTTTTCACTTGACTTCCATCCAACTTAGCCGAGTTTTTTTCTCCCCATTCATCATCATTTCTCATTGCCGAACTTGAGCAACATTATTTTCCCATAATGCTAACCCATTCACATTTGCACATTATCCACTGCTTGCACACCTTTGACTTTGTTTTAAAGTTAACATTTTTCCTTAGTTATGGCCTGTAAATAGTCTTGTACTTTGGAACCAGTGTTAACGACTGATGATTTTCTGCAAGCATTCAGTTCTCCTTGTTCCCCACTGACCCTGTTTAATAATTTAACTTTCTAGATCTGTGACTGGGTCCTCTCAATTTATGAATAATTCTGCATATGATTAATTTCCAAAGGCATGGATAACCTGACCATGCCTTTAAAAATGTAAACTTCACTTGACAAGCTTTTCACAAATATTTAAACGGTGTTAATTGGCCTTGATAGGGAGGACAGAATGAGATCCTTTTTCAGTCATCCCCACCCTGCTGATTATTGCTGGCACTGGGATCAATATCTTGAAGTTGGTATGCTGCCTTGCACTGGTATTTTTGGGCTTCTGTTGTACCCCTATCACCTTTGTTGGGGGAGGGGGTGTGCAGTAATCCTATAAAGTCTGTTTAATTGCACTGCAGTTAGTAAAGTTACCTTCGTGAGATTAATTTGTTCACTAGTTTCCTTGTTGTCCATCAAGGAAAATGTAAGAGATAAAGTATTTGATTACAAAAACTACTTCCCTAACTTGGGAATTGTATCCATGTACATTGAGTTAAAACACTACAAATATATACACTGACTGGTTTGGTTCATCAAGATGGGACAGTTGAATATCAATATGTTGCTCTGTGATCCTCCACAGATTGGGTTCCTTATCTAAATTTTGACCTGTGTTCAAGTGCAGTTGCCATAATCAAAGTCCCTGCCATCAACATCCTTGGGATCTCAGTTGGCTAGAACCTTAAAACCGGAGTCTATAAAAGCAGATTACAAGGTCAATATTCTGTGGTAAGTGACTCATTGCCTAATTTTTCAAAGCCTTTGCACCATTTACAAGGTTCAAATCATCAACCTGAATGAGTGCATCTTAACAATAGTGTTCAGCACAAAGCATTCTCACACCATATCCATTACTTTAAATGATAATTCTCTTCACTGCTGTGTGGAGGCAGCATGTGTAGCATTTATATGCTGCACTACAGAAATGTTCCAAAATGAATCTCCTGTGCCACCTAAAATGACAAGGGCAGCAAGCGCATCTACTGCTAACTTAACAGGGTTTCCTCCAAACCATATATCAACCTGACTTGGAAATATTTTGCCATTCCTTCATTGTCAAAATACTGAAATGCCTTCTGCGACAAGATTGTGGGGTTATTTTACCTATACTGACTGCGACTCATTGAGAAGGTGACTGACCATCACCTTCTCAACAGTTATTAAAGACAGGAAACATATAGAGGCTGCAATCCATGAATGAATAACGAGAAAAAAAAGCTCTGATGAAGAGTCATCTAGACTCGAAACATTAGCTTGTATTCTGTCCATGGATGCTGCCTGACATACTGTGATATCCAGCATTTTTGTTTTCAGTAAAAAAAAATCAGTCTTTCCAGTTCATCACTGGAAGCCATTCTTAGCAGTTGTACATATGCCCCCTCAATTCCCCAGCCAGTTCCATTTATCTTGCTAACTTCATTCTTTCAAAGTGTATACAAAATCCTTGGGCTGATTTAAAACAAACTGATATGCAGCAAATGGAAGAATGGCAGTTGGTCAAGAATGGTCACTGGACTGAGCTTTGCTTTAACTCATCCATGGAATTAACATCCCCCCCTTTGAGTTTCCTAACTAATCAAACAATAGATTTGTAACATACATAATCTATCAATGGAAGGAATTCTTATTAAAAGGATCCAGGCAGGGCTCAGAATGGCAGGATTTTATGTTTGATTCCTGTGACTTCAATCAAAAAATTAAAAGGAAATCTGGGAAGACTGTCATCCCCACTTGCCCACCCTGATCTCAGACTCTTAGCTGGAGGTACTGCTGTGGGATCTGCAATGTAGCAATATTTCTGAAGGACCAGAGGAAGAAAAATGGTTCTCCAATGATGCAGGTGTACACGGTTAATAGTCCAGGAGATGGAAAGTATGCATCCGGTTCAAATTGCTCACAATGTCTTGAGAGCAGGACAGGTGGACAGCATACGTTTTGAAGCACCAAATGTCATATGGTGCCTTTCCCAGCATTTTCCTACAACATAGGGCTATTATGGCTCAGTGGTTAGCACTGCTGCCTCACAGCGCCAGGGATCCAGGTTCAATTGTTGGGCGGCTGTCTGTGTGGAGTTTGCACATTCTTCCCGTGTCTGTGTGGGTTTTCTCTGGGTGCTCCGGTTTCCTCCCACAGTCCAAAGATGTGCAGGTTAAGTAGATTGGCCATGCTAAATTGCCCATAATGCCCTAAGATGTACAGGGTTGGTAGATTCACCATGGGAAATGCAGGGTTACAGGGATAGGGTAGAGGGCGTGGGTCTGGGTGGGATGCTGTTCGGAGGGTTGATATGGCCTCAATGGGCTGAATGCCCTGCTTCCACACTAGGGATTATATACAACACAACTTGTAGCTACACTGCTGGTACCCCCACATTTTATCTGCACACTGTGTCATCTCACATTCATGCCCTTCAGTCACCCTCTAATAATGTCATCCTTCCATCTTCACGCTATTCTTTTCTCATACAATTCTGCTATTTTGCTTTGCAGGAAGAAGATAATGCACAACGCTGAGGAGAGGCAGAAACTGCAGGATGGTACCTCCAGTAACAGACACTTTAAGCACTGACAGTGCATGAGCACATGGTCTACTGGGAAGCACGTCTTGTTTCAGGAGGCCTCAGATGTCAACAGTGACCTGCTGTGAGAGCCTAAGACATTGGTTCCCTCATGTCAAGAGAGATGATCTTCTGCCTGCTGACCCTATGTTGGGAAATTGTGCCTCCCTCCAGCTAGATATCTGTGCCAAACAGGTCTGCCCTTTGCAGCAGCATTTTGCTGAGGGGAAGACAACTGGTATTGCTGTTGGTTTTGGTGATGCTGTGCTTGATCCTCATTCAAATTGCAAGACAGAGCTACATATGCTGTAGAACTGCTCCAGTGAAGACTGGCAGCAGGAAAGTGCAGATAAAGTTTAATACAACCAAGAAGGATGAGTTGACTTCCAAGAAGGTGGAGATTACTTGTCAAGAAGCAGAAAACCACTCTGAGAAGAAATGTTGTGAACAGCCACTTATCTGCCCTGTTTGTAGCTATGGCTTCCTGGTCCAGCTCAGAAAACTCATGCACTCACTGTTAAAGCCAGAATGCCTGGTTACATTCATAGTTAATTGAGAACATAGGATCATAGGATTTAGGAGTAGCAGTAGGTCACTTAGCTCTTTAAATCTGATCCACCGCTTAATATGATCATCACTGATCTGATTTTGCTATGAACTCCACTTTCCTTTCTGGTTCCTCCTCAGACATAAGATCTGAAGCCCTTGTCCATCAAAAATCTAACTCAGCCTTGAAAATATTTAGTGACCCAGACTCTACAGCTGTCTGTGGAAGATAGTTCTGACAATCTGCTGAAAAGGAATTATTCTCCTGAGCTCTATCTTGCAAGGCAACCCACTGATTCTTAATATTGTCTTCCAGTTTTGGGCTCCCCCATAAGATGAAACACACTCCTGGTATCATGTCCCTTCAAGATCTTGTATGTTTCAATCAGATAATCTTTGACTGTTCTAAACTCTAACGGTTACAGTTCCATCTGTTCAATCTTTCTTAACTACAAATATGATGGAGTAGCCAATTAGACCCTGACAGTCTTCCCCACTATTTAGCATGAACATGTCTGATCTTCTACATCGATTCTGTCATCCTGCACTATCCCCATATCCCTTACTTCCCAAAAATCTATCATTTACAATCTTGCATATACTCAATAACTGAACATTTACAACTTGCTGGTGTAAAGAATTTCTAAAAGTTTACAGCTCTTGAAAAACTTTTTCTATATCTCAGAACTAAATGACTGATCTTTTATTCTGGGACTGAAAGTCCTTTAAAACTGCCCATTTTAAAACCAAAAGCGAACCTTCACAAATTCATGATATGGCACAACACCTTTTGGGGCTTTAATTCTCCACCCATACCCAAATGCATCCCATCTTAACAGTTAAATTTTTCCCCTTATCTTCAACAGTTTCTTGATTCCAGGAACAGAGAGTCAAGACAAGTGGGTAATTTTCTGTTTGCAAAACTAGAACTAGTAGAGTGCTGCATGAAGAAAGTGAGGGGTCTCCAATTATTTACAATCAATATTAAATGGTACAGAGTTTGCGTTGCAGCAAAGAGGGCAACAGTAGTCATAGGTATGAAAGTGAGTTCTGAGGAGGACATGAAAAGTGGAAATTAATCCAAGTGATAGGATGCCACCCACTTGGTGGGTCATGTGGAGGAGTTGCTGGCTAAGGATTTGGCAGGGTTGAGCAGAGAAAAAAAGGTTGTCCTTAATCCTAGCATTTGCCGCTAGTTGAATACTAGTGATGGGATATGGCCTTTCATCATATAATCCCTACAGTGCAGAAAGAGGCCATTTGACCCATCAAATCCACACCGAACCTCTGAAGAGCATCCCATGTAGACCCAGCCCAATCCCCATAACCCCACATTTATCATGGCTAATCGATCTAGCCTACACATCTCTAGACACTATAGGCAATTTCTAAAATAACCAATCCACCTAGCCCACACACCTTTGGACAGTGGGAGAAAACCCACACAGACATGGGAGTATGTGAAAACTCCACAGAGACAGTCACCCAAGTCTGGAATTGAACCTGGGTCTCTGGCACTGCAAGGCAGCAGTGCTAACCATGGAGCCATCGTATTGCCCAAGTGGGCATCAATGACCAATTTAAAGGGCAATTACTGGGTAGATAGTAAAAGATAATGTCACTAATCTAGAATCCAGATGCCCAATTTCCCAGAGATACAATTTCAGTCCCACTGTGGCAGGTGCTGCAATTTAAATTCAATTAATTAGTAAATAAGGAATTGAAAATAGCTCAGAAATAATGACCATAAAACTATCATCAGTTGTTGTGAAAACTACCAGGTTTGTCAGTGACTTTTAGGGAAAGAAATCTGATATTACCTGGACTGGCTTTCATGTGACTTCACGTACACAACATTGTGACTTAACTGCCTCTGAAATAAAAATAAAAATTCAGTTCAAGGGTAATTAGGGATGAGGAACTGATGTCTGCCTTGCTAGGGATGTTTCTATCCCATGAAAGAATAAATAAAAAATTGCTGTCAGTGTGGAAGCCTGTCCACAACCTTTCCTATCCTAGGCTTAATCGGGGCAGAGTTGGAATGGCAGCGACGTTGCCCTCTCTGCCAAACTCATATCAGGGGATAGCTTTAAATTCTCCCCAAAGAGTGTGCAATTGGACATACTTAAGTCAGTGGACAAAAATTTGGCAAATAGTTTTTTTTTGAGGACGATGTGAGATTGTCCACTTTGGCAGAAAGAATAGAAAATTATTGTTTAGTATTTTTAAGTGGAAGGATGTTGCAGAATATTATTAAAATATAGTCTGTTGAATGCTGTCATTTTGAGGGATTTGGGTAACCTGCACATGAAGCACGGGAAAACTTAATTAAAAATTTGACGTTTATGGCAAGGAGAATGGAGAATAAAAAGAGAAACCTTACTTCAATGTACAAGTGAGTGTTTTGTTAATAAACTATATCTTTGTTTTATTTTATTCCCTTATAGGACGTGAGCATTGCTGGTTGAGCCAACATTTATTGCCCACCCTGAGTCGCCCTTGCAAAGGTGATGGTGAGCTGCCTTCTTGAACCACTGCAGTCTGTGCTTGGAAACATAACTGACTTGTCCCAGATGCAGGGTGCCATTGACTGCACATGCTGCACTCAGAGATGGCCAGTTCAAAGCAGCAGGGTGGGAATCATGTGATTGATGGTCACCAACCACATCCAACTGAAACCAAATACTATAAGGTGGCAAGAAAGAAAGATAGCAATTCTGTCCAAAATGACACTGGTTTACAACAAGCAAAAAATGAACAATACCCATTGTGGTTAGACCCACAGTGCTGTTACAGAGGGAATTCCAGGATTTTGACCCTTCATTTCACCTTAAAAGCATTGTGCTGCAGTTTAATCTCAAAAATAGAGTCTGAAAACAAGAGTTTGGGGAACAATGTTGGTCTAATATAAAGTGCATGATTAAAAGGGAAAACGTTACATTGAACCAATCCATCACTGTCTTGAGCTTAAGAGGTGTAAAGCAATCATAAATTAGTCATTCGGGTCCGGTGACCCTTGCTCAGAACCGAACCTGAAACGTTAACTCTGTTTTCTCCTTCACAGATGCTGCCAGACCTGCTGAGCTTTTCCAGCAACTTTGTTTTTGTTCCTGATTTACAGCATCTGCAGTTCTTTTGGTTTTTATAAATTAGTCACTTTCCCTTTGTGATAGTTAGTTCTACAGTCTACAGCATAGACTTATTTATATTTTCTTTGGAGACAATAATGCCTGTTACAGAGCATTAATTTAGTTAACCTGTCATAAATTAATGGAGTTTTTGAAAATTCATTCACAGGATATAGGCATCAATAGCAAGGCTCGCATTGATTGCTCATTCCTAACTTCCCAGAGGGAGGTTAAGATTCAACCACACAAGTACACAGGAAATTAAGAAAGGACAGAAGAGGAGATGGATTATAATTTACAAGTTTTAGGAAATTCAGAAGTATTAAAAATCAGTTTATCTTGAGTTATATTTTAGCAGAGGTGAGTATCCAATACCCCTACTACCCCAGTCAAATAGCAACCATTTTGGAATCCCAGAATTGTACACTTAAGCAATTCATCCAGTCCTGATTTCAGTCATGTGACCGGGCCAGGCATTCAGGTGCCGATCACCCATTTTAGTGTGCTAATTAGAAGGTTGTTAAGCTGAGTATAGTTTTACTCCCCCGTTAGGGTTTCCGTTGTGGGGTAATAAGATGACAAAAAGCCTTAGCATAAGTTAATAATTGATATTTTCCTTTGTCCAGAGCTGGATAGAAGCAGGCAGCTTGTCTCCAAGATCCTTTGTTTGTTTTAGCTGGAATGTTTATACAATGTGGGGATTCAGCAGCTTCTGGAAATATGATCAGCCAAAACCTTTTTACAGTCCAGCAAGGGTGTTCACTTTTTTAAGAAGGAGATTTTAAACTCAGCATAAAGAAGAGTATAGTTTTCTTTGGAATTTCTCTTCATGCCTTCTGGCTATGACATAACTCATAACAAATAGACTAACTCTTCTCAGAAACAGCAGTTTATATATGTGGGTGGGCTATTCCAAAGATTCCAAGTTAACTCATTCAGGTTAACTGCCTTATACAACAAAACTAAAATACCTCACATTTCAAGACACAGTTGAGGAACAATTGCTTTGCTCAAAGTGTTGTCAAACTGAAATTTTGTTTACGCAGCCGTAGTTTTGACTCCGCCCACACTGCTTTCGTAACACGGAGGCCAGTGATGCCGGTTGAAACCTGTGTTTGGGCCTGAGGGGATCGGGCGGCAGCATGTCCAACACCAGGAAGGTATGAGGGTACTTTTTAAGGTGTTAATTGCGCGGTATTTACAATGGCGGGGTGTTAGGCAGACAGAAAATGATAGGCTGTTGATGGAGCAGTTGAGAGCCCGTTTCCTGTCACCGGGGAAACACTGCTGTCCTCCATGCTGACTTCAACTGGCTGGAGGGCGGGTTAATTCAGTAACTGACACTGCTCCTACCTCGAGGAAAGCAGAGGCAAACAGAAAAAAAACAAAAGAACTGCGGATGCTGTAAATCAGGAACAAAAACAAAGTTGCTGGAAAAGCTCAGCAGATCTGGCAGCATCTGTGGAGGAGAAAACAGAGTTAACGTTTCGGGTCCGGTGACCCTTCCTCAGAACAGAAAATGCTGGGAACACTCAGTTGGTCATTCGGCATCTGTAGACGAACAGTTTCCTAGGTTTATGTGTCAGATTTAGGTTTGTCAACAGGAATAGAGATGACAGAAATTTCTAAAGGAACAAAGTAAAGGCAATAACAGGAACATGTTCACGCAAAGGAAGGATAACTCGGGAGATATTATTGGAGATGTTGGAAATCATGAGAGTAAGAAAGCTAGCATAAAGGCACTTTACCCGAATGCTCGTAGCATTCGTAACAAGGTTGATGAGTTAACGGCACAAATCATCGCGAATGAATATGATTTGGTAGCCATTACGGAGACATGGTTACAGGATGGTCACGACTGGGAGTTAAATATCCAAGGGTACCAGACTATTCGGAAGGAGAGACAGGAAGGTAAGGGAGGCGGTGTAGCCCTGATATTCAAGGACGCCATCAGGGTGGTGCTGAGAGATGATATAGGTTCTATGGAGAATGAGGTTGAATCCATTTGGGTGGAAATTAGAAATTCTAAGAGGAAAAAGTCACTGATAGGTGTAGTCTATAGGCCACCAAATAATAACATCACATTGGGCCGGGCAATAAACAAAGAAATAACTAATGCCTGTAAAAATGGTATCGCAATTATCATGGGGGATTTTAACCTACACGTAGATTGGTCGAACCAGCTCGGTCAGGGTAGCCTTGAGGAGGAGTTCGTTGAGTGTATCCGTGATAGTTTTCTTGAACAGTATGTAATGGAACCAACGCGGGAGCAAGCTATCCTAGACCTGGTCCTGTGTCATGAGACAGGAATAATTAATGACCTCATAGTTAGAGATCCTCTTGGAAGGAGTGATCACAGTATGGTTGAATTTAGAATACAGATGGAGAGTGTGAAGATAAAATCCAATACAAGGGTCCTGTGCTTGAACAAGGGGAACTACAATAGAATGAGGGAGGACTTGGCTAAAGTAGACTGGAAACAAAGATTTTATGGTGGGACAGTTGACGAGCAGTGGAGGACTTTCAAAGCAATCTTTCAAAGTGCTCAGCAAAAGTATATTCCAATGAAAAGGAAGGACTGTAAGAAAAGGGGTAATCTGCCATGGGTGTCTAAAGAAATAAGGGAGGCTATCAAATTGAAAGAGAAGGCATACAAAGTGGCCAAAAACAGCATGAAACTAGAAGATTGGGAAAACTTTAAAGGTCAACAGAAAGCCACAAAGAGAGCTATAAAGAAAAGTAAGATAGAACATGAGAAAAAACTAGCACAGAATATAAAGATAGATAGGAAAAGTTTATATAAATATATAAAACGAAAAAGAGCGGCTAAAGTAAACGTTGGCCCTTTAGAGCATGAGAAGGGGAATTTAGTTATGGGATATGATGAAATGGCCGAGGCATTGAACAGGTATTTTGTATCGGTCTTCACAGTGGAGGACACTAATAACATGCCAGTAATAGACAAAGAGATGAAGGTAGGTGAGGACCTGGAAACAATCATAATTACGGAAGAGGTAGTGTTGGGCAAGCGAATGGAGCTAAGGATTGATAAGTCTCCTGGCCCTGATGGAATGCATCCCAGCGTACTAAAAGAGATGGTGGGAGAAATAGGAGGTGCACTGGCGGTAATTTTCCAAAATTCGCTGGACGCTGGGGCAGTCCCAGCAGATTGGAAAACAGCAAATGTGACGCCACTGTTTAAAAAGGGAAGTAGACAAAAGATGGGGAATTATAGACCGGTTAGCTTAACCTCTGTAGTGGGGAAGATGCCTGAGTCTATTATCAAGGAAGAAATAGCAAGGCATCTTGATAGAAATTGTCCCGTTGGGCAGACGCAGCATGGGTTCATGAAGGGCAGGTCATGCTTGACAAATCTTCTGGAATTCTATGAAGACATTACGAGCAAAGTGGACAATGGGGACCCAGTGGATGTGGTGTACCTAGACTTCCAAAAGGCCTTTGACAAGGTGCTGCACAAGAGGCTACTGCATAAGATAAGGATGCATGGCATTAAGGATAAAGTATTAGCATGGATAGAGGATTGGTTGACTAACAGGAAGCAAAGAGTGGGGATAAATGAGTGCTATTCTAGCTGGCAGTCAGTGACTAGCGGTGTGCCTCAGGGATCGGTGTTGGGACCGCAATTATTTACAATTTATATAGATGATTTGGAGCTGGGGACCACGTGTAGGGTGTCAAAGTTTGCAGATGACACTAAGATAAGTGGCAAAGCAAAGTGTGCAGAGGACTGTGAAACTTTGCAGAGGAACATAGATACATTGAGTGAGTGGGCAAAGGTCTGGCAGATGGAATACAATGTAAATAAATGTGAAGTCATACATTTTGGTAGGAGTAATAGTAAAAAGGATTATTACTTGAATGGTAAAAAGTTGCAGCATGCTGCTATGCAGAGGGACCTGGGTGTCCTTGTGCATGAATCACAGAAGGTAGGTCTGCAGGTACAACAAGTAATTAAGAAGGCAAATGGAATTTTGTCCTTCATTGCTAAAGGGATTGAAATAAAAAGCAGAGAGGTTATGTTGCAGCTGTACAAGGTGCTGGTGAGGCCACACCTGGAGTACCGTGTGCAGTTTTGGTCTCCTTACTTGAGAAAGGATGTACTGGCACTGGAGGGGGTGCAAAGGAGGCTCACTAGGTTGATTCCGGAGTTGAGGGGGTTGGCTTATGAGGAGAGACTGAGTAGATTGGGATTATATTCATTGGAATTCAGAAGATTGAGGGGGGATCTTATAGAAACATATAAAATTATGAAGGGAATAGATAAGATAGAAGTAGAGAGGATGTTTCCACTGGCAGGTGAAGCTAGGACAAGAGGGCATAGCCTCAAGATTAGAGGGAGCAGATTTAGGACTGAACTGAGAAGGAATTTCTTCACCCAGAGGGTTGTTAATCTATGGAATTCCTTGCCCAGTGAAGTAGTTGACGCTACTTCAGTAAATGTTTTTAAAAAAAAGGTAGATTTTTTTTGAACAATAAAGGAATTAAGGGATACGGTGAGAACGCGGGTAAGTGGATCTGAGTCCACAAAAGGATCAGCCATGATCTTATTGAATGGCGGAGCAGGCTCGAAGGGCCAGATGGCCTACTCCTCGTCCTAGTTCTTATGTTCTTATAACACTGACAATTTATTTAGTAGTCAAAAGACGATGGTTGAAGTGATGGAATTGATGTATATCTGAAATGGAAGTGGTAAAAACTGGAAGTGTGTATCAAGAAAAATCAGGCCAACACCAAATGTGCAGATTTGCCTCATCAACTCAAAAATGAGGGTCACTACCCCATATATTAACTCATTTCCAGTCCATCCAAAATTCAGACATGCCCATTCTGCAACTAAAATCATAGAATCCCTCCAGTGTGGAAACAGGCTCTTTGGCCCAACAAGTCCACACCGACCCTCAGAGCATCCCACCCAGATCCATCCCCCCATAACCCACCTAATCCACACATCCCTGAACACTACAGGCATTTTAGCATGGCCAATCCAAGACTGTGGGAGTAAACCAGAGCACCCAGAGGAAACCCACGCAGACAGGGGGAGAATGTGCAAACACCACACAGACAGTTGCCCAAGGGTGGAATCAAACCCGGGTCCCTGGCGCTGTGAGGCAGCAGTGCAAGCCACCGTGCCACCCATATAAAAGTGTGGTCTACGTTTGAAGTTAGCTCCATCAGTGGTGGTGCTATTAAGCTACCCATGGTGATGTGCATTATTACGAGTGCTTCATCAACTGAAAGATGGTGATAGATGGCTTCCTTACACACTTCACCTGATGCTATGAAACTTCATGGAGTTGAAATCATTGTTGAGAAATCCCAGTCATGCTCCTTCTTGACTGTATCCTATGAGGTTTCTACCTGTTTTGGATCTATTCTGTACCTAGGACAGAGTACACCCAGAGATGGTGCTGGAGAGGTCTGTGACATTGCTCATCATTCAATAGTGTCATTCCTGTTATGCAGTTATGGACTTTGCAGGATCTACTGATTTTTGTTGCATTTAAATCTAATGCCTAGGTCAGCTCAGTTTTATTCTTTTTATTTATAGTGGTTTGATATGATTGAGTACCTGATTGATCATTCCAGAGGTCAGATAAGAGTTAACCACATTGTTGTTAGTCTGGAGTTAAATGTCAGGCAAATCGTGTTACGGTGGCAGGTATTATGTGAAACCAAGGAACAGTGAACCTGTTGGCAACCCAATAGCTTTGTTGTCACTTGCTTTTATTCCTTTTTTTAAATTCAACCTAATCAAATTTAAATTCACAAATTTCAGTTGTGGAGTTTGAATATATAATCCATATTGTTATTCCAGGCCTTGAGATTGCCATTAGGGAACCATTGGAAGTCAATCCATTGAATTGAAAATTGCCATCCTTGTTTGTGCTGCTGTATTTGTATAATATCTGGTTATGTCCCAATTTGAAACTTCTGCGGTTCTTACTCTCATCTCCTTACACAGTTACTCCTCGCTTGGTTGTACAATTAATGATCAATTAATAAAAATTTGGAATGTAAACATACTCTCAGTATTTTTGCCCACAACAGTTATTGTGAGTTGTTGTAAAAATTCATCTGATTACTGTTCTTTAGGGGAGGAAATCTGCCATCATTTCCTATTCTGGCCTACACGTGACCC